CACGTGCACCTGGATGCGGGTAGGGCCAGCAAAGATGTGACCCACCACCTTTCGGCTCTGCTTTCTACTGTGTTGACTCCCATTCAGGCTCTACCAGTGTGGCGACCAAGATGGTTACCATCAGTTCCAGCTATACCTGGAAGCTTCTCAAAATTCTGGACAGCAAGTGTCCGCCCCAGTCCCCTTTTATAAAGTATAAATAAGAATATAGTTAACCATCAGTCTGAACGATGCTACAATTCCCCACTGCCCATTCCCTGCCCAAACTGTGTAATTCAAGGGGTTAAGGAGTTTTAGGTTCATAGACTGGACTTCCCTTGATCTTCGAAGGGTCTCAAGTGACATTTGAGCGGTGCTGGGTGAAAGGCATACCATTTCAGTGCCCTTAAACTTGATTATTCATTGTGATCACAACACAAATGCTTACTGCCTAAAGCCTGAGGTTTTGAATGTAATGTGAGAGGTAACAGAGGGGGAGCAGCAAAGGTCTCATTAAATCCTAACCGCTGATACTTGAACTGCCATCCGGAGAGGACTTTATTTTTCTTTTTTAATACCTGTCACCAGACACCAAGAAAGACTGCAGTCCCCAGCCCCAGCTTTTTGCCCAAATCATGGAAGCCTGCAGAGAAGTAGCATGTTAGGCTGCAGAGGAATGCAAGCCTTTTTTAATTAAAAAAAAAAAAAAAAAGTTGTTGGGGAGCCTGAGTGGCTCAGCCAGTTCAGTGTCTGACTCTTGGTTTTGGCTCAAGTCATGATCTCAGGGTCATGAGATTGAGTCCCGCATCAGCTCTGCTCAGCGTAGAGTTTACTTAAGAGTCTCTCTCCCTCCCTCCCCCTCTGCCCCTCTCCTTGCTTGCTAATGCACACATGTGCACACAACATTCTCTCTCTCTCCTATAAAATCTTTTTTAAAAGGGTGTTGCTGGGGCACTTGGGTGCCTCCATTAGTTAAATGTCTGCCTTCAGCTCAGGTCATGATCCCAGGGTCCTGGGATCGCGTCCTGCATCAGGCTTCTTGCTCACCGGGAAGCCTGCTTCTCCTTCTCCCTCTGCTGTACCCCTGCTTGTACTTTCTCTCTATCAAATAAATAATTTTTTTTTAAATCTTAAAAAGAAAGAAAAGTAGTTCAAATAGTTTGGGCATACAAAAAATACAGATAACAACATAATGAATTTCTGTGTACCTGGCACTCATCTTAAGAAATAAAAATTTAAATCCCAGAAATAACCATTATCCTGTATTTGATTTTTATCCTCCTCCTGTATGTTTATTTTTACTACATAAGTCTATGAACAACATACAGTGCTATTTTGCTTGTTTTTAAGCTTCATCTAAATGGTATCATTCTATGGGGCACCTGGGTGGCTCAGTCGGCTAAGTGTCTGCCTTCACCTCTGGTCAGTGAGCGTTTCAAAGGGCCCTGGGATCGATCCCTGCATCAGGCTCCCTGTTTAAAATTAGTATTATCCTTAGGTGCCTGGGTGGCTCAGTTGGTTAAGTGACTGCTTTTGGCTCAGGTCATGATCCTGGAGTCCCAGGATCAAGTCCCTCCTCAGGCTCCCTGTTCAATGGGGAGTCTGCTTCTCCCTCTGACTCTCCCCCCTCTCATGTTCTCATTCTCTCTCTCTCTCTCTCTCAAATAAATAAGTTTTATTAATGAAATTAGTATTTTCCTGATTACTAAGGTTAAAGTTTTTTATTCATGTAGAAGCCCAATAGGTAAAGCTAAACGGGGCCAAGTTATTTGCAATGGGGCAGTGGTTCCTATTTAAGACAGCTGTGCTATTGGGTTGATTGATTGAGTACCTTTGGATGAGACCAGTGTTCCTAAATATTGAGCATAATTTAAGCAAACAAGTTTGCATGAAATCTCTTTTGTAGCATGTTTTGGCCAGATTTTTGCTCTTTTTTTAAATTGACTGTGATTTTTAGCATTATCTGTGACACATCCTTCCCAATGTTTTACATAAGTTAATTGGGAGCTGGCTTTAATAGTGGGTCTGAAAACTCACCCACAGAGCTGAGGAAGAGAAGACATCTGAGTCCATTCAGCAGGGGTCCTTGAATTTACCAGGCGTGATCCTGATTTAGTACCTTTGCTCTGACTGTCTCCTCTGCCTGGAATGCTCCTCCCGCAGAAATGCTCATGACTCACTTCCTCACCTCCTTCAAGTTGTCATCGGATTTCTCCATCTCAGTGAGGACTTTCCCAACTCTGCACTGTATAAAAATATCTACCAGTCTGTCAGCCACTGCCACATCCCTCTCTGCTCAAGGGTATATTTCCTTCGTAGCCCTTATTCCTGGATAAATTTCTATGTAAGTTACTTAGTTACTGCTACTCCCTTGTCTTTCCCCTGCCACCCTTAGAATATAATTTCTGCAAGGGCAGGCATCTTGTTCTGTTTCCTTCACTGCTGTCCTCGGGTAACTAGAACAGTGCCTGGCACATAATCCTCAGTATAGATTTGTTGATTAATACATGGTCTGAAGTTAGCAGGAAAAAGAGAGCAGAGGAGAGCATTCCTGAGAAAGAGAGGGAAAGAGAGGGAGAGACAGACAGAACGCATGTGCCAAGACCTGGAGACAACCCACCAGTCTGCTAACCAGAAACTAAGACAGATGGAGAGGATGAGTATGTGTGACTATGACTGCGGTTATGAATGACTGTCCCCCCTAAGCTGGGGGTGCTGGAGGCAGTTGCAAGAGATGTATATAGGAGCTATGATCATCAGTTTGGACTCAATCTCAAGGACATCTAGGAGCCCTTACATTTATTTTAATCAAAAGAATAACACATTCTGATTTGCAGTTTAGAAGAACATCACTCTGACAGATGCTGGCGAGGATGCAGAGAAAGGGGAACCCTCCTATACTGTTGGTGGGAATGCAAGCTGGTGCAACCACTCTGGAAAACAGTATGGAGGTTCTTCAAAAAGTTGAAAATAGAGCTACCCTATGACCCAGCAATCACACTACTGGGTATTTACCCTAAAGATACAAATGTAGTGATCCGAAGGGACATGTGCCCCCGAATGTTTACAGCAGCAATGTCCACAATAGCCAAACTATGGAAAGAACCTAGATGTCCATCAACAGATGAATGGATAAAGAAGAGGTGGCACATATATATATATATATATATATATATATATATATATATACACAATGGAATACTATGCAGCCATCAAAAGAAATGAAATCTTGCCATTTGCGATGACGTGGATGGAACTAGAGGGTATTATGCTTAGAGAAATAAGTCAATCAGAGAAAGACAGCTATCATATGATCTCCCTGATATGAGGAAGTCAAGAGGCTACATGGGGGGGGGTTGGGGGGGTAGGAAAAGAATAAATGAAACAAGATGGGATCGGGAGGGAGAAAACCATAAGAGACTCTTAATCTCACAAAACAAACTGAGGGTAGCTGGGGGGAGAGGGGGAGGGAGAGGCTGGTGGGGTTATGGACACTGGGGAAGGTACGTGCTATGGTGAGTGCTGTGAAGTATGTAAACCTGGTGATTTACAGACCTGTACCCCTGGGGCTAATAATACATTATATGTTAATTAAAAAAAATAAAAAATTAAAAGAAAAAACGAAGAACATCACTCTGGTGCCAATAAGAAGAAATCAGAGGGTGAGAGTTAAAGAATAAGACTGGAGGCAGGTGGCCCATATAGGGAGCCATCACAGTGGTTGAGGCGAGAGAAGCTGGTGGCTTCATTGGGTAGCACAGGGGGATGGAGAAAGTCAGACAACTTCAGGAAATACTTGGGACACCTCTAAGTGTTATTCTGTGATCTATGAAATCAGCGGAATCCACATACCTCTCGGTGTCTAAGCTTAGCTGAGCTTCCACTAAGCGCGCTCTGAAGTGATCAAATCGGAAAGTTGTCCAACGTGCTCCACCCACCTCTTCACCTACCTCCTGGTGAGAGCACTCTGGAGCAAGACTGCCATTATTCAACAGAGCAGCAGATAATGGAGCAGTGCACTGATTGGACTTGAAGGTTTTGGAAGGAAGGTAACGTTCCATGTCCAAGTTTCCCTGGCCTCCAAGTCTTTTGTGCAAGTAAATTAGTTTCATTCGTCTCAGGGCACCTTTTCCAGGCCAACTCCTTCCAACTGGCCTGCAAATGTCTCTCAGTGGTGTGTTTGAGGCTTGGCTGCATCTCCTTGTCTGGAACAAATCTTTTATTACGAGGAAATAGCTGGATGATGATTCTGGACTCTTGGACCCTATTCCCCTCTCAGCTGTTGACTCAGTATTTGATACCTTGGTCATTTTCAGCTTAACCTGCCTCCTCTCCTGCCTGTTTCTCATTAACACGACTTACATACTGGAAGCCGAATTTCAAACCTACCACCTCAGCAATTTTGAGTGAGACAGTTAGGATTAACACCTGTTTCTCAAGACTCTCCCAAGATATGACAGAGGCACACATGTTATTTTCTCTGCTCACCTCCCAGACTCGCATGATTTTCCTTTGGTGCAGTGGTCATGCATTCCACCGCAACCTAAAACCATCCAGATGATGGGAATATCATGTTGCTTGTTTCACATGGGAAAGCCACAACCCACCCTCGTCTTGTTCATGTTGCATTCAAATCTAATTTGCGTGGCCCAAGTGAGCGTGAGCAGCACAGCCCCTTTGTCAGCTGTTGGAAGTTTAGCAATACTATTTCCAAACACGGGCCATTCGGCAGCCAGCAGGCACTCGACAGCTGAGTGAGGCAGAAAAAGTCTCAGACACCTATGGCCATCCAAACAGTGACTCATCCTGCTATTGCCAGCATAAATATGGGAATAAATGGTATTTTTCTCCAAGCAGGAAGAATTGTCAAAATGCTTATCACTTTATAAAATATAACAGATTGTGCCTGTTCATGTTTTGAAATGTTCCAACTATTCACTAGCTGGGTGTTTTGTTTTGTTTTGTTTTATTTTTAATTTTATGAGTTTATTAATAGCTTTAACTGTTTTGCTTCTTCCTAGGAGGCCTGGAGAACTCAGGAGTTTTCAGGCCGTGCTGCCTCCGGAGCTCTGGATCCACTTGGCCGTGGTGGCCTGTGGCAATCGTCTGGAGGAGACCCTGGTCATGCTCAAATCCGCTGTACTCTTTAGCCACAGGAAGATCCAGTTTCACATCTTCACAGAAGACTCTCTGAAGCCCGAGTTTGATAAGCAGGTAAATTTGTGGAAATGGCAGTGCCATAGTTACTGAGTGCAGACAGATTGCATTGTGGGAAATGCATATCCCCCTTTGCTAACGAGATTCGCTGACCTTCGAGTTGTACTCCACTGTGTGGCCATACGCTCGACTCTGAGCCTTACTGTTCTCATGGATCCTTTAGGGATACTTACGCCTACCTTGCAGAGATATTGTAAGGGTTCTATGAGATGACGCACTCGAAGCACTTGACCCAGGGCTTGAGCCTCTGGTGTAATTAACATGGCTCTCGTGTAGGGGGTGGGTAGCCATCTACAAATCCCCTTTATATAGGTTTTTTGAATGACAAGTAATAAACGTTCATTAAATTCAAATGACACATATGCTGTACATTAAAAGGTAGGTGTCCTTGGTACCCTCAGTCCCACACAAGAAACTATCTGAGTTAGCTATTTTGAGTTATTCTTCCATATTTTTTCATTTGCAGATATGTATTTGTGTGTGTAATTATCTGTATGGATGCATGTATATGTGTGTAAATGTGTATTTGTTTGTATAAACATATACCTATATAACACACAGGTAATATGTGCCCAGACTAAAATGTATTTCTTTTATTTTTTAAAAAGATTTTTAAAATTTATTTGAGACAGAGAAAGAGAGCATGCATGCGCAGCGGGGAGGAGCAGAGGGAGAGGGAGAAGCAGGCCCCCTCCTGAGTAGGGAGCCCTATGTGGGGCTCGATCCCAGCACCCCAGGATCATGACCTGAGCTGAAGGCAGACACTTAACTGGCTGAGCCACCCAGGCGCCCCTGTATTTCTTTTATTAAATCAAGCTTGTTTTCTTTGTGTCCACCTGAACTTGGTTTTCCTACCTTAAAACCGTATTGTCAGGATTGTTCCAGGTCAGGTCTCAGATGTCCTCACCTCATCTTTTCTGGTGACTGTACAGTATTTTATTATGTGTTGGATCCCTGTTCAGTTGACTGTTCCTCTACTGAGGAACAAGGACTGATTTTTTTTTTTTTTTAACCAGTTCCTGAGGAGAGCTTTAGAAATACCTCTTCTCCCCAGTCTCTGGACTAGGAAGTTTGCAGAGTTTTGAGTTTTGAGTTTGTAAACCAAACTTTGCTTTGTCTTGGACGTTTGCCCTTGTGGTAAGGCCTGTGTGCTGGCAGAGTGAGACGTGGTTCGTTTCGTATCCACTGACTTGTGTCAGCAGGGCCCCCTCCTGTCCCCAGGCTGGCTACGCTAATGAGAAAGGCCAAAAGAAGCCTGTTGGGCAGAGAAAGGCTACTAACAGAAAGCTAGAAAATGGGTTGCGTTTTCTGAAGAAAACTATCCCCTTGACATCTTCACCAGGAGAAGCCAAATAGTCTCAAAGCTTTGAAATTGATTGGAAAATGCCTTGAAAAAAGATCTGAGTCAAAGGAAAAGGAAGAGGTTGGCACACACATGGTTTGCTTCTCTGCAGCTGTGGTTGAAAGGAGATGGCAATGATAATTACCATTTATCAAGGGCTTCTGATTTATAATTTACCACTCCTTAACTCTCACCAGAAGGTAGCAATCATGTCCCTCTTTTGCAGAGTTTTAGTGATTTGTTCATCAGGTGTCAGCTCAAGGTCACAGCGTCAAACCTCCACCTGCTTAACCAGTGTGCCATTCTACCTCTGCAGCTAGCAGATAGAAGACTCATCTGAGAAACTCAGCTCCCTTGTATGCTTGCTGCTTGATCTCAGGCAAGCCTTGTGGTCTCTCAGAGCTTCGGCTTCCCTGCCTGTAACTTGAAGCGAGCAACACTGATAGAAGAGCTAAGGTCTCTGGAATCAGGATAGGCTAGGTCAGGCTACCTTAACACCTCTCGAAAACCTCAGACACTTTCCACGTGCCTGCTGCTTGTCTCACACAGGCTCTTAGGTCTGGGACTGAAGATGACAAAGATTATTCGTGCTTTTTTTTTTTTAATTGTTTTTGGTAATCTCTACACCCAGCGTGGGGTTTGATCTCACAACCCTGAGGTCAAGAGTGGCATGTCCTCTCAGCTACACCAGCCATGTGCCCCAAGACTGTTCATGCTTTGAGTTGCACCTGCTGGAACACTTGGCCTCTGAAGTTCTTGGGATGCCATGCAGGAAAGAGAGAGACAAGTGGCTCACGACTGTGCATTTCACTCCCTCAGCTTGACAGTGACACGAGTCTTTCCCATTCGCATTGAACTGCCCGGAAGCAGTCACAAGGCTCAACCAATGGCAAGAAGCTGAGAAGTGCTCAGTGTGCAGGAAGGGAGGAAACCGGCTGTGGACGAACCTTAGCAATGTGTTGCCCAATATCCATCTAACAAGTATTAATTGAGTACCCACTGGGTGCTAGAGGCTGGGACAGGAGGATGGAGCCGAACAAAACAGATTTGAACTTAAAGAAGGTGAGGGGAAGGAAGATATGTGTGTATAACTATGTGTATGAGGCAGAATGTATTTTCCAAAGAAGCTCTCAGTGGCCCCACCTTCTGTTATTCACACCCTGGCATGCTTCCCTCCTTCGCTGTCCCAAGGGTTGGCCTGTGTGACCAGCAGCATGGGGAAGACGCAATACTATGTCAGTTCCGTGATTAACGTTTAAAAAGGCACCACACTTCCTATCTTGCCTGCACTCACTTTCTTTCCTGGATCACCTGCTGTGGGGTAAGCTGCTTTCATGTCAGAGCACCCCTTGGAGAGGCCTTCCTGGTAAGGAATCAGGGCTTCTTGTGACACTCATGGAAGTTAGCTTGGAGACAGAACCTCCTGCCCCGCCCAGCCTTCAGAGGACTGTGACCCCAGCCAGTAGTTGGACAACACCCTCGTGAAAGCCACTGAGCCAGAGCAACCCAGCTTACAGATTTTTGACCCTAAGAAAGTACATGAAAGAATACATTTCCGTGGTTTCGAGCCACTAAGTTTTGGGGATAATTTGTTAAAAGGTAATAGCCAATACTTATGCCTCTATATACATCATCTGTATGTATATATAAAATAGAGTATGCTACATAGAATGTTCACGTGACATTTGAGGCTAGAGAATGGAAAGAGCATAGCTTCTGCCGGCTTTCATGGAATGCCTGCCCCAGGAACCTGGCCAGCATGTGGTGAGTGAGCCCACACTAGCCCATTCGGAGAGATCGTATGGAGAGACCCACTCAGAGAAGAGCTGAGGTCCCTAGTCCCTAGCTGGCCTTAGTTGGCACACATGTGAATGGACTGGCATTCAGATGATTCCAGCCTTTAGGCTTCGAAGCTTCTAGCCGAGGCCCAGACATCATGCAGCAGTGTAAGCCCCCCCCCCCGCACCTCCCCCCCGCCGCCGCCTTCTATGCCTTGTCCAAATTCCTGATCCATGGAATCTATGAGCTTAATAGATGGTCGTTTTATACTGCTAAGTTTGGGGGTAATTTGCTATAAGCCATGGTAATTGGCACATTATAAATTGGGAACTAAATTGTATGGGAGAATCATTGAATTTGAAAAATCATTTGAATCGCTCTGGTGACTTTATCCCTGTGATGGCTCCTTTCCTCGGGTCTTTGTTAGATCAGTGGAGCTCAACCAACAAAGGAAATTGTAACAGGGTGTTAAAAGACAGGCAAGGCATCTGGCCTCGTCCCTTCCCATGCAGGGATTCTAGATAAAAAGTTTAGATATAAAACCTTGTCTCTTATGGAAGTCACAGAACTTTCCTTAGTCTTGGTTGTTTCATCAGTATCGAAGGACAAAATGATCCTTGCTCTGTTACTGCAGAGCATACTTGTGAGGCTGAATCACATGATCTGTTTATTCTTTCATTCCACAGAGATTCTTTGGAACATCTCCTGTACCTTGTTAGCTTGAAAATAGAAGGGCAGGACCAGTTGGTTTTTGTGTAGTCACAGGAGGTGCTGGTATGGAGAGGCAGGGTCTGCCACCCTTCGCAAGGGTCTTACTTCCAACCCTGAGGCATTGTGCGAATATCCAGTTTCTTTTGATAACTTCCTGCAAAGCTCAAGGCCACTTATCTTTGTTTTGTAAAAACAAAACAAAGTGCCAGCTGACCTCATGATTCCTCTGGAAACTGCTTTGTGGGTGAATTGTACTCTTTTTAAGGAGAATTTTTTAGTTTTTAAGCCATGTAAATACAATATGTCTGGAGCTATTTACCAAGTATAATGTTTAATATTTTGGAGTCTCGTTTATTTTTGTCATCTCTCAATATAGGAGCTGCAAATGCCAGCTGGTTGATTTCCTAGCGGCTCCTGTCAGCTCGGGAATCAGACATGTGCTTGAGGTTTGGTGCATCTGTGCCAAAAAAAGTGGGAAAAGTGGGACACCAAAGGGGGGTGACCACCAATCCATTCTGGTGATGGGTGGGGCCAGCGGGATGGCAACATCCTGTGTGTGTGTGTGTGTGTGTGTGTGTGTGTGTGTCCTCTGCCACAGGAAGAGGGAAGAGGTGTCAAGGAGAACTTGCGGCTGGAGCTGGTATACTATTCAAACACAAGCATTGAAACAAATGTAAATGGACTGAACATTCCAGTTAAAAGACACAGATTGGCAAAGGCAGATAAACCCTTCTGGGAGATCAAAGAGTCAGGGAAACCAGTAGACCTCCAGGACCTTCCCATTCTCCTTCGAGGGCTGATTTTGGGCTGCTGTGGCAAGGCACATTTGGACTGAATATTTGTCCCTGGTGTCCATTCTGATGGGTCAGTGTTGTCGCTCTGTGTACAGCCAGTGTCGGTTCTGATGAGTCAGTGCAGGTGTGCCAGTATTTGTGCCTGGTGGGGGTTCTGATCAGACAGTGGGCCTTCATAAATTAGTTATCAAATACTTTGTCACTCCTCCTCTTTCTCCTTCTGAGATTTCTCTCTCATATATCCATCTCAAAGTTGCAAATTTAAAGCATGATCAGTGGTATGTTTCTTCAAACATTTTTATGTGACTGTATAAGCAATATATGTACAGTGCAAAAAAAGTCATAAAATTATAAATTTAAAAAATCAACCATCCTAATGGTCAGGGAGAGTAATATTGGTAGATTTACTTATATTCCTTTTCTTTTTGTATGAATATCAGAAATAGGATCATCTTCTATATTCCCTTTTATATCACTAAGTCTTATATTACTAAATTTCTTCTAAAACTGGGGTTGTCCAGCTTTTTCTGTAAAAGACCAAATAATAGCTTTGTAGGCTGTGTGGTCTTGTAGCTACTCAATTCTGACATTGAGTGTGAAAGCAGCCATAGAAATATGTACACAATTAAGTGTGACATTGTTCCAATAAAACTTTTATTTATGGACTCTGAAATTCAAGTCTCATATGACTTATAAATGTCACAAAATATTACTCTTGTTTTTACTTTTTTCAGCTATTTAAAAGTGTCTAATCATTCTTGGCTTGTGTGGTTTTCATAGCACTCTGGATTTAGTTCTTGTCCTACCAACGGTTAGCAAACCCTTCCTGTACGATGTCACATTCTGTCATGTAGACATTCCTTGGAGCTTATTTAACCAAATTGCTGTTTAGGTTGTTTCTAACTTTGCTCTGTTACAGACAACATTATGATAAACAACCTTGCCATAAATGTGAGTGAACTTTGGGAATTTTTTCTTACAAGTAGGACTTTTGTGTCCATGGGGAAACATTAACTCAAAAACGTAAGAAGATACACAGATGGCAGATAAGTGTACAGAAGGAGACTCCACATCACACGTTATTGGGGAACTACAGAGGAAAACAATGAGATACCACTACACACCTATTAGAATGGCTAAAATCCACAACATGCTGCTGAGGGTGTGTGGCAAGAGAAAATCTCACTTGTCACTGTGGGAATGCAAGATGCTACAGCCACTTTGGAGAGCAGCTTGACACATTTTTAAAAAACCTAACTGTAGACCAACCATACAGTCCAGCTATCGCACTCTTTGGTATTTACCTAGAGGAGCTGAAAAGTTGTCCGCACAAAAACTACACATCAATGTTTATGCAGCTTTATTTGTAATCACCCCAAACTGAAAGCAACCATGATACCCTTCTATGGGTAAATGTATAAACAAACCATTGTATATCCATACAAGGGAATATTATTCGGTGATAAAAAATAAATGAGGTACCCATCCACCAAAAGACATGGAGGAGACTTCAGTGCATATTGCTTGTATATGAAGCCAATCTGAACAGACTTTATACTCTCTGATTCCCACTATATGACATTCTGGAAAGGGCAAAACTAAGAGACAGCAAAATAATTAGTGGTTGTAAGAATTCAGTGGGAGGGAAGGAGGAAGGGGTGAATAGGTGGAACGGAGGAGATTTCTGGGGTGCTGAAACTACTCTGTAATGGTAGATACCTGACATTATACATCTGTCAAAATCCATAGAATGTACAACTCAAAGAATGAAACCTAAGGTAAGTTATGGATTTTACTCATTAATATATTGATATTGGTTCATCAGTTTTAACAAACATACCATAGTAATGCAAGACATAGGTAACAGGGGAAAGTGCAGGGGTGGGGGGGAGGGCGGATGGGAACTCTGTGCTTCCTGCTCAATTTTCCTGTAAGCATAAAACTGCTCTAAAAAATAAAACTCATAAATTAATTTTGTTATTGATATTAACATATGCAAAGTAAATATACTCACTGGAAAACTTTAAAAGAACACAGAAATATAAACTTAGAAAATGACACCACCACCACCACCACTTCCACAGGTGTCTACTTTTAACAGTTTAGCATCAGGGACGCCTGGATGGCTCAGTTGGTTAAGTGTCTGCCTTCTGCTTAGGTCATGGTCCTGGGGTCCTGGGATCAAGCCCCACATTGGGCTGCCTGCTCACTGGGGAGTCTGCTTCTCCCCCTCCCTCTGCCTGCCACTCCCCATGCTCGTGCTCTCTCTCTCTCAAGCACAAGCTTGAGCTTGTGCTCAAATAATAAAGTCTTAAAAAAAAACCCAAAAATCAGTTTAGTGTCTATCTGTTGAGATTTTTCTCTCCATATAAAATATATGTGCATATATTTTTCCTTTAAGACAGAAACATTATAAAATCTTTTGCATTTTATTTTTTATTTTTAATAATAAACATCTTTATAACAAATTTTATAACAAAATTCTTAATAAACTTATTTATTTAAACATATAAATTTTATAATAAAAGGTTTTTTATAATAAACATTTTTCCTTATCAGCACATATAGATCTACTTTATTTTAACTATTACAATAGTCTATTGTATAGTTCCATAATAATTAATTTTCCCAGTTCCTAACTATTGAGCATTTAGTTTGTTCACAAAGGTTTTTTTTTTTTTCTTAATTACAAATGAGACTTTGTTGAAAATCTTGTGCCTTTATCTTTTGGGGTTGGTTGTTCCCAATTTCAAATTTCCCTCTTGGAAGTTTATTCAAATTTATACTCCCCTTGTGCTGTTTATGTGCCAGTCTCCCAACATCCTTGACAACTCTGGATGTTTTTTTTTTTTAATTCTAGCCATAGTCTTTCATTCATTGAGCATTAATCATGGTGGTGAAGTTAGACATTCTGTGTAAGGTGCCTGAATAATTTCCACTTGAACATCCAGAAGCTTCAGGTGTTTTCCATATCTCTGGGGCTAATCACCTTCCCCTTGTCTTCCTTGTTTTTTAGTTACGACAGTGGCCCGACTCCTATACAAAGAAGTTTGAGCACAGAATCTACCCCATCACATTTTCGGTTGGAAACCCTCAGGAATGGAAGAAATTATTCAAACCCTGTGCTGCTCAGAGACTCTTTCTTCCGGTAGGAACACGAGCTTTTACTAAGATGCTGCTCGGGAGAGGATTGTTCTTGGAAACATGGTGAAATTAACTGGTGTGTGTCTAAAAACATTTTACTTAGAGCTGAAAATGTGTTTATCTTGGATTCTGCAGTTGATTCTCTTAGTGTTCCAGTATAGGGGATTCTTGTGTTCAAGAAGTTGTCTGTCCCAAAGATTGAGGGACTAAGAGCATCCAAAAAGCATGTCTTGGATTATGGGTCTTTGTGACTTTGTTTCACCTTTATGAGCTGTCTGAACCTCAGTAAATCCCCCACCTTCACTAGTCCTCATGTTCCTCCAGAGGTTTGGCACATAGTTGGCCCTCAATAAATGGTAGCTTTGATGATTATTCTCTGGTAACAATAACTATTACCAGATGTAGCCATGTTAGGGGATAATTCAAAAACAGTCCAGAGTTCTGGTTCAGACTCTCAGTTTTGAATTTTTTAATTAAACATTTGTATTACCTTTTTTAAAATCCTAAGTAGAAAAATCACTGAAGATAGATTCTAGGTTCTAGAATAGGTTCTAGGCCTTGGGTTAGTGATACCAATATGGCAGCAAACAAGTCAGTCACAGCTTTGCTCCCTTGGAGTTTGAGCCTAGCATTGAATAGGTAATTGGAAGTATGATCTGTGTTGAAGTCTCATGGGCATATGTAATTTGGGGTTCCATGCTGGTGAGTGAGAGGTCATAGAAGGTTCTTTGGGGACATGGCATTTATGCTGAGGCATGAATGTGCCAGTCTCCCAACATCCTTGACAAGAAGGATCCTTCAGAAGAAGCAGGGATCACTGAGTGATAAGGGCCTGGTTAGTAATGAGAGAGAAGAGAGTACCAAGCAGATGGAACAATATGTTCAAAGGCCATGAGTTGGAAAGGAACATCCTTAAGAAAATAAAAGAAGGTAGAGTAACCAGAAAATAGGGTGATGTGGGATTAAAGAGGTCAGCAGGGGTTGGATTGTTTGGTCTTTGTGTTAAGGGCACTGAGAAGCCACTGACTGATTTCTAGCATGCAACTGGGATGATCTGGCTTGTGTTTTAAAGAGGACACCCTATTCATTGCAGTGTGGACAGTGGAATCACTAGGCCAATTACTGATTATATGGATATGTTGAGGGCCTTAAAGATGGATTCAGAACGTGCCTGAGAAAAAGAATTTACCAGTCCTCATGATTGGCTTGCTGTCAGAGTTGAAGTAGAGTGAGGTGAGAAGGATTTCCCCCAGGTCTCTGACCTGAGCAACTAGTAAGGCTGATCTGTTTAAAATTGCCAATATTCAGCTATTTATGAGCTATGGAAAAAGGCAGTTTGTTAGGGTTCATCCTACTCAATGGATGGTGATCTTTGGAGAGATGGAAAAGACTGTTTTCATGGGATGAGGTGAGTTTAACTTGGGTCATATTTTTATTTTGAGGTGCCTGGGAGATGGCCATGTGGAGAAGTCTTACCATCTGTTAGTTTCAAACCCTAAATGGCAAATGGCCATTTTAGCATTTCCTACCCAGAACCTGTGAGAAGACCTCCGCACAGGCTTACTCACTCATTAAGTGACCTGTCTGTCACACACCACAGACCATCATGTGAGATGGGAGTCATTTCATAAAAGTGTAGGTAAGGACAGACTACCTCAAACTGGAACTAAAAATCTGTAGGTGGAAGATAAAAAACTTAGTTACCATTTCAGAAGATGAGAAAAAATGTCAGGTTTCTTCTTGTCTCTGTTTTAGAGGGAAAAATGTATTCAAAAACCAAAGCTACTATTGCAGAATTTTCTTTCCATCCTATCCAAAAAATATAAGCAACCCAGTAGAACCACATTTGAATGTTCCCTGACCTTGAATTGTGACTTTATCACCGCTATTAAAAAAACAAACATACCACATGATCGTTTCCATTCATTCACAGCTAAGTAAGTGTTCCATTTTGAATGACAAATGATTGCTGGCATTCCTTATCTGCTTTTGATAATGGAAACTAGCCCTCCCTAAAAATAATAAAGAGAGATTGAAGTTGACAGGACATTTACCTTCTCCGAGTCATATATCATAACAGCAGATTATGAACATAGCATTTTTGGGCTTCAGTAGAATATATTGATCCTCAGGGTAATTTGAAATAAAGTCTAGGTGATGTTTTCCTTGAAATTCATCTCTGTAGAACCAACTCAAATATTCTGCTGAGGCAGCAGAGTGAAGATGGAGATCCCAAAATGCAAACATTCTAGCAAGTGATGGGTCAGTCGATTGCAGGCCACAATCTCACCCATATTCTCATCTACCCCAAGCCTGTAGGAAAAAAAGAAAAAAGAAAAAACCCTTCTCACATAAGATTTTACTATCAGAATAAGATCAGAGTACAAGTCTGCAACTCAAGCGTATTAGATTCTCAAGTACAATTAGTGGAACTCAGATCCTACCAATTCATGATTTATGAAGTCCTAGAAACCAGTGGACATTTAATTTTCTATTTCTGTGAATAATGGTCCAAAGAGCAAGACCATTATTAGTGCAAAGTAAACTGCAGATGGCTTGTAAGCTCTCTAAGATGCATATTGCTCTCGGGTAACTCAGAAGCTTAAAGTATTTAAAACAATCTGCTGATTACAAATAAATCAAATCTGTTCATTAAAATTTATTCTGGGGGGTGGTGGCTGGGTGTCTCAGTGGGTTAAGCCGCTGCCATTGGCTCAGGTCGTGATCTCAGGGCCCTGGGATCAAGCCCCGCATCGGCTCTCTGCTCAGCAGGGAGTCTGCTTCCCTCTCTCTCTCTCTGCCTGCCTCTCTGCCTGCTTGTGATCTCTGTCAACTAAATAAATAAAATCTTAAAAAAAATTTATTCTGGGGTACTTTTCCTCTTTTCTTTAGTAACAGCCATAAAGCTTTCACTATTGTAAAAATAATTGAGCGTCATGAATTCACCTCACCTCTCTCCCATTTAATTGGAAGTAGTGAGATTTTTTTGATGGATCTATACATTTTGTTACACACTTGCCACCTTGATTCCAAAAACCACTAATTGTGGTTTTCCTGGAATCCTAGAGATATCCCAAACATGACCGAGATCACTGAATTGCAGAATCTTGAGACTTTACTGGCAAGCAGCACCCAGTATGGAAATATACATTAGGTTAAGGTGCTTTGTAAGTCTTACCCAGGGAGAAAGGCCTTTTTATTTTTTATTTTTTTTAAAAGATTTTATTTATTTTTTTTGACAGAGAGAAATCACAAGTAGGCAGAGAGGCAGGCAGACAGAGAGAGAGGAGGAAGCAGGCTCCCTGCTGAGCAGAGACACCCCCCCCCCCATATGGGGCTCCATCCTAGGACTCTGGGATCATGACCTGAGCCAAAGGCAGAGGCTTTAACCCACTGAGCCACCCAGGTACCCCGAGAAAGGCCTTTTTAAACCAAGTTTTGATAAATGCCTATATTATAATAATGTCTGATGTTTTTCCTGTTTCCAACACGTGCCATAAGCATCTATCTCAAAGGAAGGAGTTAGGGAAGAATATTGACCTGAGAGGTAGGATAAAATTGCTTACAGCCTTGACCTATAAATTCTCCCAGACTTCTCTGGATATTTCTGTATTTCTTTTTTTTTTTTTTTTTTTTTAAAGATTTTATTTATTTATTTGTCAGAGAGAGAGAGGGAGAGAGAGCAAGCACAGGCAGACAGAATGGCAGGCAGAGGCAGAGGGAGAAGCAGGCTCCCCAATGAGCAAGGAGCCCGATGTGGGACTCGATCCCAGGACGCTGGGATCATGACCTGAGCCGAAGGCAGCTGCTTAACCAACTGAGCCACCCTGGCGTCCCGAGATATTTCTGTATTTCTAACAAACTCAACCCATCCTTTACTATTTCAAGGGAATATCCTACCAAGTAAATAAAAATCTTAGATTGCCTAGATTTTCTTCATCACATCAAGAATAACAATATATAGGGGTGAGTGGGTGGTGCAGTCAGTTAAGTGCTGACTCTTGGTTTCAGCTCAGGGGGTAATCTCAGGGTCGTGAGATTGAGCCCCACATTGGGCTCTGCACTCAGTGTGGGACTATCTCTCCTTCTCTCTCTGCCCCTCCTTACTTTCCCCCAACCTCAAATAAATAAAATAAATCTTTTTTTAAAAAGAGTAACAAGGGTGCCTGGGTGGCTCAGTCGGTTAAGCCACTGCCTTCGGCTCAGGTCATTATCCCAGGGTCCTGGGATTTTGTCCCACATCGGGCTCCTTGCTCGTCCGGGAGCCTGCTTCTCTCTCCGCCTCTGCCTGCCGTTCTGCCTGCTTGTGCGCTTGCACACTCTTGCTCTCTGAGAAATAAATAAATAAATAAAATCTTTAAAAAAAAAAACTTTCTGCAGAGAAGAATGAATACACAGATCTTTCTCTTAAAAAAAAAAGTAACAATACATAATCTTCCCTTTTTCCACTTATAGTTTGTTTAAAGAGGTTTGTAACTAGCTCCAATATTTGGAAAACGATATGCTTACAAGAGATATTCTAATGAATCAGCTACAGGCTAATGGAAAAGAGAGATTATCTGACTTATAAGAACTTTCTATAATTAAGGTCAGGCGTCTGTGCTATTCTTAATATTATAACTCAGCATTAGCAGTCAACATTGAGTCTTCCTTGGAACCAACCCTTTAGATGTCAACAAATATTGACAGATGTATAGGAACATATTAAAAATCTTTATTAAGAAGAACATCTATTAGAATCACCATAAATGATGTCTCTATATTTCATTAAGCATCAAGAAGCCATAAATTATTGGGACAAGGTGAGCTATCAAAAAGGTCATATAAAGGGACGCCTGGGTGGCTCAGTTGGTTAAGCAGCTGCCTTCGGCTCAGGTCATGATCCCAGCGTCCTGGGATCGAGTCCCACATCGGGCTCCTTGCTTGGCGGGGAGCCTGCTTCTCCCTCTGCCTGCCATTCTGCCTGCCTGTGCTTGCTCCCTCTCCCTCTCTCTCTGACAAATA